GCATCCTAACTGTATCCTAACTGCATCCTAAGCACATCCTAAGCGCATCCTAAGCGCGTCCTAAGCACGCTGTCACCCAGGAGCTTCTCTACACCCCGCCGTGCTGCTAGGAACACCAGGAATATAAACAAGCCCAGCTTACCTGCACGTCGGACGGGTCGGATTGCAACCACCCCTTCTCATTGTACGTGTAAATCCGGAAATCCTCGGATAAGAAGAGGCTGCAAAATAATAAAATGGAGAGGGAAACGCCGAGGAGGGCATCTCCCACGCGTGGCTTTGCGGGATACCGGCTCCGGGAAGGTGCCGGATGGTGCCGGGTGTCCCACAGCCCTGCAGGCCGCCCCGGCCGCACTCACTGCGGCTGCAGGTGGATGGTGTAGGGCGTCCCCTCGATGGCGATCGCGTAGGACACCGTGTCCTGGCGCGCGCGGAGAGGGGTCATCAGCACCGCGCCCGGCTCCGATGCATCCCCCCAGCCCGCTCCGTGCGCCCCAGGGATGCCAACTCCAGCCCCTGCATCCCCAGTGCCGCCCGCATCCCTGGTACCGGCTCCGCGGTGCCGTTGGCCGGCGGCGGCAGCCTCTGCGGCACCATGATCTGGGACAGCACCGGGCACCCTACAGCGGGACGGGGGACAGCGGGGCCGGTTGCGGGGCCGGTTACGGGACCGGCACCGCGTCCCGGCTCCCCCGGCCGGGGCGCTCACCCAGTGCCGCCAGCAGCGCCGCCAGCAGCGCCCGCCGCGGCGCCATCGGGGCCGCCGGTTCGAGTCCCGCGCCCGGCGGCTCGAGAGCCGCGACCGCCGGTTCGAGGCTCGCGCTCGACAGTTCGAAAGCCGCAGCTGCCGGTTCGAAACCCGCGGCCGCCGGTTCGAGTCCCGCGCGCGGCGGTTCGAAACCCGCGGCCGCCGGTTCGAAACCCGCTGCCGCCGCTAACGCTTCCACCCGCCCCCCCCGCAGCCCAAGCGGCAGCCCCACAACTTCGGCACAAAACCGCCCCATTTTGCACCCATTTCTTCCCTTAAAAAGGGGCAGGGGGGGCCACTCGTGAAGCCTGTGCAGGGCTGAGCAGCGAGAGGGAGGGATGTTCATTAAAAAGAGGAAAAAGCAGGAGTTACTGAGCACCCTGGACACATCTAAAATCTTTCTTTGCCCCAAAATAGCTCTAAAAAGCCCAGTCAGGGGCCTGGCCTCACCCGCCCCTGTGCTGAATGTGTCAAAACTGAGATGGAGGAAAAGGCAGTGATTTCAGCACAGTTTAAATTCCCACCTCCAGCTTTACATAGCACTAAATATAGGCCCCTGTCCCCCCTGGCCCAAGGGACAGTCCCAAGGGAGCAGGATACCACAACCAAGGCGACTTTGAGACCAAGCAAACCCACCCTCACCTGCAAATCCGGGGCTATTCCAGGTAGTTTAAGGGTGTTAGAAATCTCAGCCTTCCATTACGGGAAACCACAGGAGTTCAAGTATTTTATTACTGCAAATGCAAACTATATATATATATATTTATGGAGGTGTATATACACAGAGGAGAGGTTCTTGGCGATGCCGGGGGGGGATTTACAGAGCGGGGCTGGGCTGAGGCGCCTGAGCCACCTGATTCCCACCCCCCAAGGCTGTGCCCATCACCAGGGCCTCGGGCCTGGGTACCAGAGTCCATCTCCACCCAGCCCCGGCGCTAAAACACTCCCTGCCAGACACGTCATTAATAACCTGATTTAAGCAGTGCCCTTATGGGGACATCCCGACTGACACTAAAGCCTCCGAGAGGAGGTGGAGGGTTCATTAAAGGCCCTCATTAAAGGGCCTGGGGAAGCTCAGGCTGAGGAAACTTGGGTTTTGCTTCCGCAGGGACTGTTATTCACAGGCTTTAAAACCAAACACCCAAACAAGCTTTTCTAAACCCAAAATAGGGCCCTGTCCTTCTTCGTTCGTACCTTTATTTTTATTGCCCATTCACACCGTTAGTGGAAATTAGTACAGGTTTCTCATTTAGCCACTCCAAAGTACTCATTTCAACCCATTAAATTCAAGTCCACAGAGCACAGCTTAGTGTCAGTCAGCACGGAAGCAAGAGCTCGAGCACATTATTACACCTCAAGAGACAGATACACGTGCATAAACATGTTGATAAATATATTTATCTTCCTCTGGAAAAAGTACATCGATACCTTCCTCGCTTGGGCCATTTATGCCCAAGTGGATTAACACCTTCCAGCCCACGCAAAGTGGGTTTATTTAAACTGCCCAGCTTTCTTGCTGTGATGGTGGCACCTTTTACGCTTCAGGTCTTCACGTTTAAGGAGGACAAGTGGGACAAGCTCATTCTTCAGGCTCCCTGTGGAACCCAAGTGACTCTCAGGCGGCTCTGCTTCCAGCAGGGTTCAACTGCAGGGCCCGCTTGCGACCGAGCCAGGCGGGCGGCAGCGAGGGGACGACGTGCTCGGGTGCCGTGGCTTTGCTGGAGGTATTTGAAGGTCTCTGACATTCCTCGTTTCAAGCCCGCGCTCGCGGGAAGGAGGCTGCGGGTTTGGCGGCGCGGCGCCCAGCTCGGCTCGTGCGAGAGCCCCGAGGCAGCCCGAGCTACTTGGGAGGCAAAGGGGCAGGGCGAGAGGGGATATAGTGTCCCTGAGGTAAACGTTTCTGGGGGGCCGGGGGTCCCTGAGGGGCACATTTCTGCTGCGGAGGCGGCGGCCTGCAAAGAGGGACAGAAGACACAGAGATGGGAATTAGCAGCTCAGTTCCAAAGCATTAAATGGAGCAAAAAGAAATATGCTTTCGACACACCGGCTCGCATAGAGGGCATTAGAGGGCATTTAGGGAAACACCCTAAATATCATCTAGAGAATTCAACAAACCTTGTAGGCAGCTTCTGGGGCTGTGGTGCCTGGTAATGGGGCGACGGGTGGTAGGACTGGTGGTAGTAGTAAGCTTGCTGACCATGCTGGCTGGCTGGGTAGGATGGCACAGGAAACGTATTTGGTTCCACCTCCTGAGAAGAAAACAGGACGAATATTCACAAATTTGCACTGGGGAAAGAATAGTTTTTGTTTAAGGGCAAATTTAAGCCTTAAACAACATTTAATTAACATTTACGGTGAATCACAGGGTGATGGGTAAACGTCACCCCTGCTCTCGCCTTCTAAGCCCCTCAGTACAAGGGCGGCTCGGAAAGAACTGGTTTTTGGAGACTGAGAGCAAAAGACGCAGCGAGGAGCAGAGGACGATTCCTACCACGGGCAGGTTTCTGGAACCGTAAGGCATCCCATGTGAAAAGCCCCGGGGTTGGTAGTCTCTGGGTTCAGCTTCTGTTCTAGGAGGTGGCGACTGGAAGGACCTGAAATTCAGTAGAGAGCAGCTGTGAGCAGGTGACCTCTCCAAACAGGCTATAAATCCTATTTGTTAGATGGATTTCGAAGCAGCTTTGGCAAATATCACACCTCAGGAGGACAGTGTATGCCACGTGTTGTAGCAACCACATATTCCTTTTTCTGTTTAGGACCATATCATCTTTATTTGTCACTTTGCACCAAAGCTGGGGCACCCAAACCATAAAACCACTGCATGGCAATGAGTATAAAGGCAAAAAGAAAGTCCTCTGAACTTCCTCCATGCAAAATAACCTTAATTTTCTGTGTCATTGCCCAGAATCAGCTTCACTCGATGCAGAGATATTTGCTTATTATCTTTGGGGTAAAATATGCCCCCACGCTTTGGAATTGGCTTGTGTAAAGAAATGCCTGTGGACTCCTTCCAAAGGGCAGAAAAGAGGGGGAAAAGGGGGAAGATCCTTACGAGTGGCAGCGTGACATGAGCCTTCGAAAGCCTCGCTTCAGCCTGTCCCTCTTGGCAAACGCCAGAGCAGCAGCGACGAGCAGGGGGAGGATGAGGAAAAAGAAAACGAGCAGCCCATCCCTCAGCGAAGTGTCTTTGTCTGGTGGGGAAAGAAGGAGAAAGGGAAAAAAATAGATATTAAATGGTGTTACCCCCACTCAGCTCATGGAGCAGGGGGGTTTCACAGTAGGATTGATCTGGCAATTATTTTACCTTCTTAAGGGCAGAAAAGAAAAATCTAGGAAGGCTGCAATGTAAATGCCCAAGTATCTAGCAACACTGAGAACTGTTTGAACACAACCAGAAGGTCACAGAAGGGACTGATCTTTCCTTTCCCCTCTCACCTTCATTTTTCCTCATATGCCTTCACAAACTGCAAAGAGATACTAGAATAGGCCTCATTTCTGCTCCCGCTGCACAAAACAGCATCTCCATATCGAGCTGAACCCGGAACCTTGGCCAAATTTCATGTTGGGATCTAAAACTGGAACAGGGTCCAATTTCCAGCTTGGATACAAAGAAGTCCAAGGTGATTTGGGCCCAAGGCGGCAAATGAAACCGTAAGGTGGATGCGTCTCCGGCATCCCCGAGGAAAGGGCTGTGCTATGCCGAGGCCCAAACCTCAACCAGATCCGTTTGCAAATGAATCCTGGTGGAAAGCTCCATCAGCAGCCCTTCTGCCACCAGACTCAAGGCTCCCTGCAGAGGTCCCAGGCTGTGGGAGCTGCCCTCACTCTACTTGCCGTTGTAGGTGGGTCCGCTGTCAATACTCCCTCCGTAGCCTTTGGTATCGCAGTGAGGAGGGGCCCAGCCTGCTTCACAGTGACAGTTGCCGTTTTTATTGCACACCTAGAAAGACAACAGCATGAGACCAAGCCACAACTGCCACAAAGAAACGCTGGGACTGATGCTGTGAAAATTCACTGCCATATTCCTCTGAAGAGTCAGAAATACACTCATTTGGTGAACGAATATCTAAAAATTTAATAAGTGGTTGTGGCTCTTAAAGCACGAGGCAGCAGCCAGGACTGTCTGGTCTGTCCCTTCCCTGTCACTCAGCCTGGTGACCTTTAGCCACCAACTAACTCCGCTCTCACACCTAAACAACCAGCCCTCAGGCTGGACGAGTCCTGTCACTCCACAAGAATTCATGGGATTGAGCAAGCCCAGGGATTGTTCTGGGTGCTTTTCCACAGATTATTTATCCTGACTGCTGAACGAGCAGGGCTGCTGCTTCTGCGAGCTGCACAGTGTCATATTTACATTAAGTATGGTAAAAATCAGGAATTCCTTTGGAAAAATAAACTTCAGAACCCTCAAAAAATCTTTTAATCATGTTATAATATAACAATGCTATAATAATTATCAGCCGTCTTGTGCAGAGCCAGTTTGTAAAGACAGCTTTACCGAAGTTAAACAAGTCAGAAACATGAAGTTGTTATTCAAAATTAGAAAACTTGCTCAGACTGCAATTCTGGGTAATATTTACTCCCTGTTAAAGGTAGTTTTCTCATTAACAGGACTAAAAAGCTGCTTATTTCAGCAAAATCAACTGCCCCAAACCTCACGGATTCTCTCTCACTGGATACCCAGTCACAATCATTTTATTGCACATTAGTTACAGGCCCTAAGCAGAAAAGGGCAACAGGCTTCAAAAGTGCAAAACAAGCTATTATATAAACCTATATATTTGCCAATATATATTTGCACAGTCATAGACTCTACAAAAATATCTAGAATATCTAGTGTTCTTGTAACAAAGATCTCACAGAAGAGGACATTGCTTCGTGTGTAGAAATACTGCCAAAGTTCGATCAAAAATTAACAGAATTAACACTTGAAGGGGAATATCAGGAATATCTTACCCCATGCCCATGGCACTTTCTTTGTACATCACAGTCATAGTTCAGGACGGAGGCACTCACACACTGGAAATGCCTACAGATCTAATGGAGTGAAGGAAGAGAGACACATCTTGGTTTGCTCTAAGAAGAGGCTTCATTTCTTTTGCTTCTATAAATCAAAGAGTTCACATTTTTTATCTGCACGTGCACCACAGTGCATGTAGTTAATTGCGTAGTTAATTTTGCATTAGCTACAGGCATCAACAAGTTACTGGCCACAGACATTCATGAAACAGAGCTGAAAATTATATTCACATGTAAAAACTTTTAACTATTGCTTGAAGAATTCACTATTGACCTGTTGCTAACTACCTTTCCGGTATCACATTTGGTGCCTTCATTCACCATTCCTGGATCAGGGACATCAGAGCCTAGCTGGAAATCCACACCCCAGCACATGGTGTTTCCGACAGGAGTCTGGATAATGGCAGGTTTAATTCCAAAAACAGGCATTGTCTGCACATTTTTACATTGCAGCTTCCCACACATGGCATTCCTACAACACCAACATGCGAATGGTGTAAAGACACTTGAATTCACTCAGAGAAAGATTTTCAACACACTTCATACAATCTTTGCCCCCTACTGAAGACTATTGACATTATTTAAGAGCAAAACTAGAGTTAGCTTCAACACAAGAGAGCTGCTTAAACACAGGAGAGCTGCTCATCACTTCAGGGCTGCAAGAATATGGGTTTATCCCTTCTTTCCAAATGCTTTTATTATCTTTATACATTAAACACAACCAGTTTGACATTCTGTGGACCTTGTGATGAGACAAATCAACTACTACTTGCAAGATAAAGTGAGATAATATATATATTTTTTTAAAAATGCATACAAAAAAACTAATAAATGCATGAGTGTGAGGGCTTTAAGTGCCAATAGCTATTTCTTAAGTTATAAGAGTTTTTTTCCTAAGCCATCTCCCTTTGGCATATTTTATAAATGAGATATAAATATAAATGAGATAGCGGGATAAGGTGTCTCTCTCCACTACACTTTTATAAAATCCCAGCCCACAACACTTGAATAAAAGGATTCTTAAAAACCTAAACGCTACATTTAAAGACCTACTTGATGCATCAGGCTCAACTTACCAGCTGGAGCATTTCTTGTAGTCATGGCCATGGAAGCCACAGTTGCCAAACCTGTCGCCCTTGGAATTCACATCAACAAAACAGATGTTGGGGGCAGCTCTGGCTTCTGAAAATAACAGCCCAGAGAAACCCAGTTTAGTAGAGACAGAAACATTTTGCATCATCACCACGTCCCCCTTCCTCAGCTCACTTATCCTTGCCACCCTTCAGCTTTTCTACTGCAGCACAGATAGCAGAAGAGTTTCACCAAAAGGATAGAAACAGGTGAAAAGACCAATTTTAGCAGGTTCTAAGCAACAAGAGGAAAACAGTCTGCACACTTAGTCAACTCTACAGTCGGGTAAGTCTAAGACTTCCTTATAGTCCTATAATCCGGAATTCCCTTGCTAAAAGGGCTGCCAAGGGCAGGAAAGCAAGCACTGAAATCACCAACACAAGCAAGGAACACAAGCAGACCCCAAAACCAAAGCCCTGAAATTCCACCACTGCAAATCTCTTGCCAAAGCCAGCGGGCCTTAGCCCCAGGAAAAACTAAAAAAGCAGCTACCTATGTATTAAACAAGTGTTTATATTTATATACCTATGTATTAAACAAGCAAAACAGCACCACGCTCTTGCTTACTTGGGCCAAAGATAGCCTGGCATTGAGCATCGTAGTACTGGCAAACGCCGTTGTAGCAGTAGGCTTGCTCGTGGTGGCACGGGTGGCCGTCCTGGACGGTGAAGTCGGCCTGGCAGAACTGGGAGGTGCCGTTGCAGTACTCGGGAAGGTCGCACTCGTTGCTACTCGCCCGGCACTCGGTTCCTCCAGGCAGGAACTAAGAAAAGAGGGGGGAAAAATGCGGCAGAAAGCACGAATTGGATGGCAGAGAAGAGGCTGCGCCCAAGTCACAGCACAGCCTGAGTAAATGGGTGTTGAGCTAAAGGCCTTTGTGGGCGCTCAGGGTGACCCTCTGAGTGGGAACTGCACAGAGCAGCACTTGCAAAAGAGGGTTTTTTTGGGGTCTCTTACCTGGCAGTTTTTACAGCAGTCGCCATAGGCGCATTGCGCTCCCGCTCGAAGCCTGCAAGTGCCAGGCTCACAGCAAGGATCGCTCTCGCATTCCTGTGAATGGAAAGGCTGAGGGTCAAGAAACCACGTCCTCCTCGGCACCCTGACCCGAACGGGAAGCACCCGAGGTTACACAAGCAGCATGCCTAAAAATCCACGAGCTCTTAACCTTTGGGGAACCGCAGTCGCACTCCTCGCCGGCGTCCACCAGCTTGTTCCCACAGTATGGGACGCTGTAGGTTTCATCGGGCTTGGGGACGTTGAGCAGGCAGCTCCCACCCTTGCTGAGCGTCAGCTTCTCAAAGTCCTCTGCACTGCAGCTGCTGAAGTTCCTAGATCCCCTGCAGAGAAGGGCACTTTACACCCAACTCAACTCAGACACGTTTAAAGCAAGGAGAATATTGGCCTTCCTCACGAGCCTGCTGTAAGATTTCCATAATGGTTTGCAAAAATGAAGGTGACCTGAAAAATATATAAGGGGGGATTTTGACCCCCTGGAAGTGCTTTGGCTTTTGACAAAGCTACTTACGATGCTCCAGAGCTCATAATACAACTGCTGGCCCCACAGTGACAGACTCTTTCATCGTCGTGGTTCATTCCGAGGTTATGGCCGAGCTCGTGAGCGACGATCGATGCAAACATCTGTATGCTGATCCTTCCAAACTGCACAAGAGCAAAACACACACCGTGGGCAGCTAATAGGGAGCAAGAGTCAGCGTCTACACGTGGGCCAAAACCCAAAGGTGGTTGTCACTATGTTACTATGATTTTCAGACCCTTTGTGTATGTCATTGCTTAACCAACCTGGGACACTAAAACCAGTTAGTTTTTAGCTCTTTGATACCCTCTTTATCAAAAGTTGAAGAACAGCAAGCCAACTTACAGCCTTTTGGCTGCTCAGTTAAGTAATCTGAGGGGGGGGCTCTGATCTGTATTGACTGGGCACATATTTGGGCACCAAAAACAGTCATAACTGGCACTAAGTGACATGTTTGCTGCAATCTCTCCATTCACACATCTTCAGGAAATTCAGAGCGCTCTTGCTGCTACAAGGAGTTCATAGCTATGGAGATAAAGTAGACACTTGAGGACAGATTTCAGCACCAAGTGCTGGGCAGAGAATGCAGGAGATGGTAAAAAAAAGTCATGATCCAGGCTATTTTATGCCAGAAACCACCAGGAAATCGCAACATATTGCATATTCTGTATTCCTAAGTCACAGGATCTGTTTTATCAGAGATTCTGCCCTTCTGGGAGGGCTTGTGAAGTGCAAAGAAACCCCTGTTTACACTCACAGGACTGCTAGTGCTATCTTACCACATTAATCCCTCCTGCGTGGCTCTTGGAGCACACTGTTCCCACATAGGCCATTCCAGCTGTTCCTCCAAAGCTCTTCTTCCTAGGGTACAGCGAGAGAAAGACAGGAGAAGTCAAACAGTTCCAGTCCACAGCAACACACAAGGCCTCTAAGCACACAGCTCACCCACAAAGGCACTCAGGGCATCGCTTCTGCTCGTGTGGCACAAAATACTCATTTTTCACCAAAAAAAGAGTGCTCTTAAGGGTGCTACGGTTCTTTCCTGCTGTTCTGGTCAGGCTCTGCTCTGCATGGGGGCAGGTCAGTGTTTGCCCCTGGGTGAAGGGTGCTCTCACCTCTGGCTTTTCTCTCCCTTTGGGAGGCACTTCCCAAGTTATCTCTGGGAAGTGCACAGGAGCCTGGCAGCCTGGAAGCGGGTCCAAGAGGACACCTGGGGAAGTTCCGTGATAGTTTGAGGCAGCAGGGAAAGGCAAACTAACCACCACATGCCAGAACCCAAACCTTGCAAATAGCTTCTGGACACCAACTGCAGAAGCAGTTTGTGCAATTAAACTGCCACACTCAGCACTCTGATGCTCACTTCCAACCAAAGCAGCCCAAGACACATCAATATATCTCCTGATAAAAGTTCCTCACATTTCAGATGTGAGCTTTATGCAGGGCAAAATATTAAACTGCATGACACAAGACATGAAAAAAATGCTATTTAGCAGTACATCTGTCAAAGAGGGTGGATACTGAATTCAAGGAGAAGAATGTTCTTCAAAATCATTTGACTTGGAATGTTTTCCATAAACATAAACATAAAACATGGCAGATTACACCGGATTCTCTGTGGAATTCCAACGGCTGCTTTGGTCAGAGTGCACCTAGTGAGGAATAAAACAGGTTGCTTCGAAGTCAAAGGGAAAGAGCTCCAACTCACAGAACCAGCTGGGCACTGTCATGTCTTCGGCGCATCACCAGGTTCTTCTCTCGCCACTGCACGAAGTTTGCCAGCACGTCACCAGCTCCTCCATCCGTGCTGATGATGTTCTCGTACTTCCAGATCTCCAAACCAACGAGGACAATGCGGATATTCAGCATGATGTACATCTGGGAGGGGGGAAAACAGAGGTTAAAAGCAAAAAAAAAAGGTAAAAAAGGAGCCTCAGTGCTGACAAATAAGCATCTTCTGACATACCCTACACACTTGAAAGACAGTTTTTCCTGTGCTCCTTATGCACCACTATTGCAATAATTTGTCCTGACACTACATAAGAATTCCCCCAAATAATTCCTGCTTCAGGTAGGGTAATTGCAGATGAACTGAGCGGTAGGAAAAGCTTTCCTAATGCTGCAAATACTGGACAAATGGTGCTTTGTGAATCCCTCTAAGTTTGCAAAAGTAAACAGAGCTGAACATCTGCTGCCTGCAGCATTATCCTCGTCCTGCTCAGCACTGCGTTAACTTACACTGTCAAGGAAATTTGCCAGTTGCACCATGTGTTCCCTCACTTCTGTTTCACTCTTCCCAAAATCCTCAAACTGCAAGAAAAACAAAGGTGGTCATGAAAAGGCAACAGACACAACTTAGAAAAAGGGAAAACTACTTTAAGACAAATAGCACAGAAAACATCTTTGCCAGTCTTAGAAGATAAGAACTTGAACCCTTGCCTAGAAGATGCTCAGGAAGGCAACAGCAGCTGCATTGCTGCCATTCAGCCACGGAGGAAAAACAGGAAGGGCAGTTTTTGGTATGTGTTTCCCTTTTGTGAGCAGAATCTCTGCTGATAGAAACTCTGATAATTCACTCTGAGATGTCCCATCTAGGACAGGTTTAAACAGTTTTAAGTCGGCGTATTTGTATATCCTTGGTTAGTGTTAGTCTCTCATTAATCCCTTTAGGAGTAATGAGGCCAATGGGCTTTTCAGGTCGACTCCTGGGGAAAGGGATGAGACGACAACCCCTACCTTTTCTTTATCCACAACTATGAACAGCTCCACATATCTTGTTTGATGTAGGACAGCTCTCTTTCTCTGAGGGGAAAAAAGGCGTTTTAGACAATTCCATGTTTATTTAAGGAACTGCAAGCCAGCAACACTCAGCATGGTAGGGCACACTGCAGGTGATACTGCTGGTGGTTTGAGAGACATAGTCAAGCATCCTGTGTCAGAATGATAATAAGACAAAATCAAGAAGTGGAATCAAAGCAACAGTTACTTCTCTACAGGTGTTTCATGCTAAACTTCAGCTGTACAAGGACTTCCACAGTGCTTGAAAAAGTGCATTTTTGATTTCCACATAGGTTTCTTCTGAAAGACAGCATACACTGTTATAAAAGGGCAGAAAGATAGGAACTGAAGGGAAACAACAACAAGGGAGACCTTCAAAACAAGCTGTTACCCTGAGAAAAGAAGGAACTGCATGAGATTCTGCAGCATCCCTGCCAGGGCACAGTCTAACCAGCCCCTGAGCTCGCTGCTGGGTGCAGAAGCAAAGGGAAACCATGTGGTGGAAACAGGATTCCACAGCACAGGGGTAGGAAGTGGGGTAGGAAGCCCTGATTCCAGAATCTTTAGGTGTGTGTTAAATACCAGGAAAGCTGAGGAGCTGCTTCCATGTTATGAGCTGGACAGACACAAGACCTGCTCGAGGGGCAGGTGAGGAGAACTCACACGCAGCAGCTGAGTCATACTGGGGTAGTGATTTCCCTCTGCGTGTTCCTTCTCGGCACCTTCCGGGGCTACTCCGCAGGCGACAGGCTCCCTCCTCACGTTCTCCAGGCGGTACAGGAGGTGTTTGGCACCAGAGCAGGAATCCATGGGCTCAATCCCATAGGTGATGTTCTCAATCGTCAGCAACCCCCTGACATGTAGGAACGTGCAAGAAATCGCATTGAAGAGACAACAGGTCCCAGGTTTGAATAGTAAATCAGAGGTTATTCTTTAATAACTGTATCTATATGTCAGTCTCTGCATAAGAACAAGGGGCTTGCACAAATACCACGTATTAAACATTTTCCTAAGTCTTTTCAACATCTGAGAAATTAAACCATGAGCCTTAAGCAAAAATGCTTAATTTAGTATTGCTAGTTCCGTGTCTGACATAGCAAGGCAACAAAGCAGGTTCCAAATGACACAGAACTAGAGAAATACAAACTTCTAATAGAGAGATATTCAAGTTTTCTGACCCATTTTGTAAGATTTGTTTTTCAGTTTCAGGTTTTGTACTAGATACTATTTTTTCTGAAGCGGTTCTTTAGCCAAATCAGAAAATAAGCCAAAAAAAATGTGCCAAAAATGATCGGATTCCAATATGAAAATGCACTGATCAACTTATTTAGCAATTCTGCAAATATCTGCTACCTCTACATTAATAAAACACACAGCCTGCAGAAGGGCAGACTACTGCTGTTTGGTCCTAGCCAGGGAGTTTCAAATTGGCTGAACAATAAACAGAGCAGGACTTTTGTTCCTGGCTCAGCAAGTTGCTAAAAATCACATGTTGGCTACGATACAAGAGGAGAGTTTTGTTACCTGAGCCCCGAGCAGGTGCTGACAGCAACGGCAGAATCCAGGGCCCCTTCCACATATCCCTGATAATGGCAGTGATCCTGCAGGGGAGGGAAATAAAAATCCCACTCACCTATTTCAGCCTAGAGCTGCAGTCGGTGCTTGCACTGCTGATATTAGTACTGGGCAAGCAGGGCTAGAGCATCATCCAGAGAGTGGATTTCTTAACTTGAAACGAAGCCATCCTGCTTTCAAGTCTGGCCCTCCACCCTGCCTCAAATATTTTAAGACCTCTCCCTGTGGATTTGAGCCAACACATCATTCAACCCCTAGAAAACATTTTTTTTTGAGGAGTGCATTCAAATTGTAACCTCCCTATCAAGGAAACGGTCACCACCTGCTATCACCTGCAGGCACTGAGGTGTCCAAACTTTCCAGCTGCACAGCACATCCCCAACCAGTCCTGGGAAGGCAGAAGACTCCTCTGCCATCCTCTGGACACATAATTACGAAGTAAATAGCTGGCTGGCTTCAGTGCTCCATTTGCAAAAACAAGACCCTATGAATCACACATGACTAACAGTCCCTTTCTGAGGGAACAAGGCTGATAAGAGCGAAGCCCTTCAAAATCCTCTCCTGCTTTTCATATCATACTATTCTCATTCTACAAAAGCAATTAATTTTGCCCAAAACATCCTAGAAAGCAGCCTACTTGTATGGGAAAAGGCAAATGCTTTTAACAGAAGAATCCCAAAGCTACATAGATGACAACTAGGGACCAGGATGTACAGGTTGGATATTTCCTCCTAAATGCTTTCTCCCTACCAAAGGTTCTCCAGACTTGATAACATCTCCTCCTTTTAGCAGTCAATTAACCATTCACTTTGCCTTGTGGACCAGTCTGGAAGACTATGGGGTGCATAAACCAGATTGAGTCATGAAACAAGGTCCAGACAGCTGCTCTGCATGTCCTGCTCCATAAGAGACAGGACTTATTTCCAGAGAGGGATATAAACACTTCACCTGATGACAAAACAGCATTGCTGCCACATAATGAGGTATCTGACAGCTGGAAAGAGATTCACAGCCAAAACCAGAGATTCCTACTGGGAATACTGCAACACATGAGAAATAACCTAGTAAACTGATAATCAGCAAACTGATAAGACAACTCTCTCAAATTGTAGATGCTCAGTGTTCTACTCAATGTTGATAGAGGTGTGGAAAGAAAGAAAAATCTACCTGGACATCTGGTTTTTCAGACTGCAACTTCCCCTCCTCGTTATACGTGTACACTGTGAAATCTTTGGGCAGCAGGTCTCTGAGGAAAGGGGACAGAAGGCATACAAGAGAAATATCAGGAAATGTCTATGACACAATAGGAGCACAGTAAGGTGATATATTCTCACCTAAATTGTCATGAATATATAGGCTGAAGTTTGTTAAGGAAAAGATTCCAAAGGAAAACCACCAGAACTTCACTGGGGAACAGTACACTCATCAGGAATAAACCTCCTATAGCAACATCAAGGACACTCAGGCAATTGTATGGATGTAACGGGGGGCTATTTAATAAATGCAGCACCTCATTAGGTTAAACCAAAAAAGACCAAAAGCAGCAAACTGCTGAGTTTCATGCAGAAGATGGAAAGTGCACCCCAATACATCAGTTCCCTGGTTTAGGAAGAAAGAACATTGGGAAAGTTTCCCATAATTTAGACTGCTAAGCCATACTGGTAAATCCATTCAACAGTGAAGCTCAATTCCCACGTTCCTGAGGCTCAGGGGCTTAGCAAGTGCCAGAAAAGGGTCCCCAGGGGCTTGGATATTTAAATAACTGCTCCTCTTTTGTCTATTTTGAGGGTGGTTGTAAGAGAAATTGGATGCTGCTACCAGTAATCCTCCAAAAGACTAAACCCAGGCATAAAACCGGACATCTACATTCTACGTTATGCACATTAAAACCTTGGATATGAAGTCAGCTTCCTCATTTGACACCACTGAGACAGGACAAACACATTAAAACAACAAATAAAACCAGGAGAAAGTCAAAATGTTTACTCAAAATATAGCTCCGTTTCTTTATTTTTAGACCTGAACAAGGGAGTCATTGCAATGATTTCCCAGATCCCTTCTGAGCAAACTACTACTTCCTTTCCTGAACAGGGATCACCAGGGTTGTAGGAGCTCCGCAAATTCTCTGGCTGGTGGCCAAATCTACGTGACCCCATCTGCTTTCATTGTCCTTTTTTCTGTAGCTGTTAGGAATCCTCATAATTTCTCTCAAGAACTAGGATCAATATTCCACAGTAACCAGAATTCAGTAATGAAGAAATGAAGAAATTCACTCACTTGTTCTTTTCTAGATGAATAGTGTATTCTTTTCCCTCTATGGCAATACCATATGAAACCTTGTCCTGTATGTTAAAAAAAGATTGATTTTTCCATGTTAGCGAAAAGAACACTCTTCAGAACCAGCTAAAACCTGGCATCTTTTCATCTGTAACTGCTAAAAAGTCACACGAAAAAACTATTTCAAAACAGCTTTGTGTGGTTTTCTTATTCTGTATTTCTAAGGCTTCCAGGGGGGAAATAATGTTTAGTTACAGCTAGAAAAGGACAGTTTTGTTCCCAAATACGCAGAGCGAGCCTGTGCCTCCAACAGCCTTGTATTAACACTGCACTCCGTAACGAGGCCCCATAAATAAGCCAGATCACCTGATTACTATATTAGATATCACAGCAGGAGTACGAGCTCCCAACTGCAATAAACTACAAGGCATTCTTGTTAATATTAAGCTCTGCCAATGCTTGTAAGACTTGGAACGACAGTTGCTTTAATCCAAATGCCTTCAGTGCAGTCTTTAATTACATGGCTACACCAAAATAATTCAGGCTGGGAAATGCCTCAGGTCTCTACTCCCCGCTCAAAGCAGAGCCAGTTGCAGAGTTAGGCCAGGCTGCTTGAGGCCCTTCTCCAGGCAAACCCAGGGCATTTCCCAGCATAAGGATCCCACGGGAGAAATCAAGGTCAGTTCTGGATGGACCTTGTTAAGAAGTAGATGTCTGAATGAAAATATATGTAAAAATGCCCAGTACCTGCACAGAGGAGACATTGGAGGCCTCTCGTCGTTCTCTTCCTAGCCTCTGTGGAATTATAACTTCATAGGAAGACAACAGAGAAACCTGCTGGAAACCTAGAAGGTTAAGAAAAGGTTATCAGGTTACAGCGTCTAAAGAAACAAAACAGGCCGAAAGGCACAAGGCAGAAAACACAATTTTAGGGAAAGCCACTTGGTAGGAAGGAAACACTCCGCAACTCTGGAAATTCTGATTCAAGTCTCCAATGAATCCCAGGCATTTGTTGAAGTTCAGATCTACAACACAGCACGGAGCAGGTCCTCGAGAGAGGAAACCAGCTACCTGCAGCTCTTGGCCACTACACAAGGAGCCCTGTCACCGCGGGCAGGGCTGAAACACTCGAGAGCACCACTGATCCAGCTATCAACGGGAGCAACCCAGTTGGTCCCTCAGAGGTAGCTGCCTCGTACAACCCCACCTCTCAGCAGCACAAGCCAGAGCGCTTGACAAAGGAGGCCGGCACCAAGAACAAGTTCAAGGACACACACAAAGACAGGGAAGCCCATCTATAGCTCCGGATGCCCAGCATCCTCACAGATACACAGCCTCTTCCCACAGGCTCCCGGAGGCTCCGGCTGCCACCGCTTTGCCCGGAGCAGAACTCAGTGCGTTGCCCTCCACCCCGCGGGTGCCAGCCAGAAAGCTCCGACAAAAGGCCGGGATTGCTAATTATGTTCCAAGAGCACTGGGGGCCCTGATGAAAGCTAACGAGGTGAAATGGAGGCACGCAGCACAAAGCAGCTTCTCGCAGCAGATAGCACAAGTTATTTATCAGGTTATCTCACATTCTCCAGCTCAGTGAGAAATGAGCAACGTTCTACGGTCTGAGAAGCAGGACATGAGTTTTTGCAAGCATCAGTTTTACACGAAGTAGGCAAACAATAAATTGCACATGCAAATCCAATTCCCAAGGCAGAGCCACTCCGCTCCAGCGCCACTCCCCCTGGAAAGCAGGAGCTCGGCTGCCTTGGGATTGCATCCGGGATTGGGAGCAGCGTTTTACTAACTCACAGCAATGGAATCAATGAGCTCATCAGGAGATTCAGACCTAGAACTAGGGGGAAGGGAGCAGCTCTGCTCCTGTGAGCAAGTTAACCGTAAAGAACAGAAAACTCCACACAATTTAGGAGGCAACAGCTTGCAGAAATTGCTTGTTTCCTTCAAAAAAAAAACTCTCCTTGGGGCCAGCAAAGGCCCCAGTTTGCAGAACGCATCGCAAATGAGCTGGTGTTTTGCAGCCTTGCACAAAGCTCTGTGCTACTTCAGGGCTATCCTAAGAGCATGACCTCAGATTAGTGCTTCCAGAACAGGACTGCTTTAATCCCTACCCCTAAGACGCCTTTGGATGCACAGCCCCATGCAACTGGCACTGATCAGGAGAGGGTTAAAACACGTTGCTCCCTTTCATACACAGAAGGCAAAAGTCTAGAGTTTAGTTTCATTCCTCCTTGGCCAGAAAACAGGAGAGGGAAGGGCTATTTCCTTCCCTGGGATAAGCCACCAAAAGTACATGCTCTGGCAAATCATTTCTCTACATTTCTCATTCCCAGCCACATGTTTTCAGCTCACATCCAGTCCTAAGCTCTAGCAAATCGCTGCTCTGCACTTGTTGCTTCCTCAGTCCCTTCCAGAAGTGCCTCTGTTGAAGTGGGGAACAGGATATTTGCGGAGACTCTCGGAGAAGCCCTACAAAAACACCAGGGCACAATCAGTGATCAGCCCTTGCAGCGCTCCGAGAGCTGCAAGTGCCTCCGAAAGCGCTTGGAAAACCAAGGCAAAGGCGTGAATCATCACATAAAGCCAACATAACTGGGAGGATTTTCTGGAAACAGCATAATCCTAAAAAGCTGCATGTTAGAAAACCAGCAAGAAGCAAGATTACAGTTTTCTCCTCAGAATACTTCCCTACTTTGTGCTCTCCTTTCCTCACTTTGCTACTATCAGTTTGGAAGGTGATTCACCATGTGCTGCTACTCCGGCCCATCAAAGAATATCTGTACGGAAGCAACATTTTCCCAAGACAGAAATGAAAAGTGTGAGCAAAATGACCTAAATTCCGCCATACTTTGGCCATTTTCAGCCCCATCCCGCATGCACTGCCCTTTTGCGACAAACACAGCCAGACCTTATCGCGCTCGGGGAACAAAAAACGGATTCAGCCTGACCTAATTAGCACAAGGGAAAATTGTGGCAAGTTCAAGGTGGTTTGTGGCAGTCGGGCTCTTAAACAAACGCTGCATCCCAGCATGCTACAAAGACACAAACAGATGCATTAAATCTGTATTAAGTTGCTCCCTCCTGGGCAAGATGGTCACTGTGAGCATTCAAATACATATTTTAGTATACGGTAAAAATGGTTTAAATCATAGCAACTAGTTCTGAAAGAAAAGCAGAAGTGATAGGAAAAGAAATGAGATATTTAGCTGGCTTGCATGTAAGATGATTGAAGATATTTATATTCTACTTTCCTCAAAATAAGCTCATTTTTGTAGCTTTTTGCTCAGTCCCTTGTAGAAAAAAATTGTATTATGGTAAGTGTGGATCTCAGGCCTCGTGGCTTGCAATAAATTTTATAGTAGCCACCAGGATTTGTGGGCTGAGTTTGATGCCATTCCCTACCACAGCATCTGAGAACGTGCTGCTTATCACTCATCCTTGGGTGCAGCACTTCCGAGGTGAACAAAGCAACTGCATCCACTGTACTCACCTCATCTCATTAGAGACTGCTTTAATTACCAAGCACCAGTGGCAACTAGGAAAATATGAATCATCTTCCCCTCCTTGTCCCCAATCCACAGGGAAAGCTCCATGCACCCTTCACAGCACATGGGAGCTTGGAAACCATCAAAATAGGTCCCAGTTGACAATGTTTTCCAGCACCAAGTGGTTTGGTACCTACTCTGCTGCAGATACAATTGGCATTTGAAGCAGAAGTTGAGCTGCTGCTCTAGTGTTTACGCAGCTACAACCACCTACACAGAATAGTTCACCCCAATTATCACCCTTCTCCAATAACTCCTTCACTCACAATCCAAATGAGGTCTTCAGAGTCAACGTCACCAACACGTTCCTCTGACAGGACCCAAATTTGTTTGCAGTGCTCTACCAGCGAACTTAAACACAGAGGATACCCACCACGAGCGGGTGCTCTGCTGAATTCTCAAGTGAGAAAACTTCCAACCAAGCCAGGAAACTGTTACTATCACACACAAGGCATTCCTAATATTCTCTTCAAGTTTATTCTGTGACTGTATCCAACTTCTAACCATACCATAACTGTAAAGGCTCAGACAAAAACATCTTAAACCTGAGAACTCTGCACGTTTCAGTGAGCTGCAACGAGTTTGGGTTTTCTGTTAGCTATATATTTAAATCAAAAGCAGCACATTGTTACGACAAAACACCAACTTGCTAATTTAACCTCTATTTTTAATTGATTACAAGGCTACAGGCTTATTTTTGTCATCACAGAGAGCACGACTGAGTGATGTGCAGCTGAACCTACCCCACGGCTCATCTCCTTTCCTGCCAAGGTGCTTCCTCTTAGCACCCTCTCACATCTGTGCAGCCAGCGATGCCCATCTTGGCAGCACAAGACCTTTGCACTTGTCCTTTCAAAACCACAGCGATAGTGAGATGGACTCTCCAGATTACTGCAAAGGAAAACTTCACTCTCACCACAGAAATATTGTCTGAGACCTTATGAAAATATTTACAGATTTACCCAAAAGAGCATTTTAACAAATCCATTGTAAAAAGCTGGACCTTTTCCTACAAAGCCACCAGTTTCAATCCTTATGACACCTCCAGGACTAAGCAGCACCTTGCACGTTCAGGGTGGTTCTCCAGCTCCAAAACACCTGGGAACATGAGCCAAGCTCCCCTTGAGAGCACATTCCTTCCTCTTACTTTCCTTTCCATCTCCTGGTTCCCTTGCTCTTGCCTCACGCTGCCTCCTTAAAAGGTTAGGAAAAGGTGAACAACTAGCATGGCAAAAGCCACAAACTCGTACTTGATTTATTACTCACTGGGAATACTTGAAGATTAACACTGAAGAAAGCCACTTTACTCAGAGCAAGAGTAAGGGAGCTCTTCTGCAGCAATGGTTGCTCTCACCTCCCCCTGTGAAAACCAGACCAATGCTGTAAGAATTTCCTGTCTAGACTCTTACTATTCCTTCTTCCCTTTCTAAAGCCATATCCTAACTCTCCTGGAAGGCCCTAACTACACTTTGGGGCACAAAAAGGACCATCACTCTTGTTCTCTGGTATTATCACTAGCATCCTTTCCATCTTGGGCTCTTGCTCCTTGTAAAATTGCATTCCGAAGGCCACGGTGTGAGCGTCATCACGGACATCATTCCTCCAGGGTCAACAGCCCCGAAGTTCCTGCCCTTTCATCTATGAACTGCCCCAACACTGGCTTGGAGAGGGCTTACGCACAGAGCCCACTCACTTCCTCAGGCCTCATCCCACGTGCAGATGTCAACTCGCTTCACACAGCGGCGGTTCATGGGAAAGCTTCTTCCTCGGAGCTGTCACGATCTTGAAATTTGGTTACTAAAGGAAATGACACACTACAAGTTCAATCACAGAACCCCATGGAATTGAGCGGGCACTTCATGCCCCTCCACTCTTCTTTTTGTAGGTTTTAGCTTAAGAAATTATTGAAACAGGCAAAAACTAGAGTTACGTTTCAAGTTTCCTTCCCCAAAACAAAAGCACTAGGAGAAGCTATATAGAAATTTCTTTCCTCCTTTTATTCTTCACAGAAGAGGAAATAACCACAAAACCTCTTTGCGCTGCTGAACAATTGTCCCAAATTTGCTGGAAAACAGGTGAGGCAGAACTGCGTTTTCCATGAGTTGCACAAAAGAGTTATCTTAACCAAACAGTACAGAAAATTCTCACCAAAGGGCTTAAATATATGAAAAAATCCTTTTGAAACGGTGGAGCACGGCTAGAGCATCCCATTTTGTTTGCAACACATCAAACAACAGAGAAGAAAATCAACTAGTGAAAAATCCAGGCCCATCCAAATGGATGCCAGAGTTCCTGAATGAACTTACATAGCCAAAGCCTGAACTACAGACCCTATAGAAATAGGAGGTAAATAAGTAACCGACAACACATCATCTCCCAAGGCTATAGGTCATTATATGATATATTGGTCCAGTCATTTCCAATGAGATGTTTCCGGTAGTGCCTCTGTTTCCGTCTCCTTTGCCTATTTGTTGGGGAGTGCCCAAAGCAGTTACATCCCAAAACCAAGATGTTGGATGAATCCAGATCCACTCACACAGCTGACTTTGCTTCTCCCTTCTTCCTGCTCACAGCTGAGAAGATTTGCCATCTTTTATCAACCATTCAGCATTACTAGTTGCAACAGAAACCTCAACAAGTGAAAAGAAACACTGCCCATCAGCCTGTATTTCCTCCCATGCTCAGGTAGGACCTAAAAATCTCAGCCCCCAAGATACTGAAAAGCAAGAAATTCACCTGGTAGACAACTGCAAGTAACCACAGCAAGAGCATTTTTTCCTCAGAACAAAACGTGAGTGTTAGAAAGCATCCCTCAATAAGACCTCACAAATCCTAACGGCAAAACTCTCCATTAGTGATAAAAGCCCCTGTTTCTACTCAAGGTATCACACGGAGCATTAAAGAAAACAATGAAAAGTGAGCCCTTTACATACAACAGTCACCAATAGGAAAGCCTACAAATAAAACAGCGTGTCAGTTCGGTGGCATTAGAGGCATTTCAGCTCTTGCCAACCTCCCTTTTCCTACAGAAGAGCAATCCCTGCTAGTGTGTGGCTGTACCAGTGCAGGTGACAGCTCACTCTGGCCAGGGGACCCAGCCACTACAGAGGTAGAGCCAGGGTGATGCTCTCACCCCCAAATGGGGGGAGATATTGGTACTCCAAGGCTGGAGCTCCCCCAGAGCTCACCATGTTCACCAGGATGCCCTCCGGGCACCACATCAGTCCTCCCAAGACAAAGGGTCTGTTGCGCCCATGCATGAGGTCCCGCACACGGACTCGGGCACGGGTCCTTCTGGGCAGGACACAGGTTGTGCCACCAGCGCCCTCCTGTCTGGTGACTTTTAGGCACTGCGACACCCCCCACCATAGTGTCCCTGACTCACCCCCCCAAACCCAGGCAGCTCTAGGGGAGGGAAAGGGGGTCTCCGACCACATGAACAGACCCAGGGAGCAGCCTTGGGGGAGGCAAAGGGTGGTGGTGGGGGGGTGGGGGGGTGTCCAAACCCATGAGGCGACCCCAGGGGCCAGGCCCTACGTCCGGAGCGCCGGGGCAGGGAAGGGGGTGCCGAGCGCGGGGCCAGGCGCTGCCCCCCGGGGCAGGGGGTCCCGCGGGCACTCACCGGCGCGGCCCTGCGCGCGGCTCGGGGCCGCCAGCAGCAGCAGGCAGAGGCAGCCGCCGGCCGCGCGGGCCCAGGCCAGGCCGCTGCGGCTCCGCATGGCGTCGCGGCCCGTATGGAGCCTGCGCCGCCAGGCCGGGCCCTGAGTGTCCCCCCTTCTCCGCCTCCGCCGAAACCACCCGCCCGGGGTGGAGCCAGCGCCGCCGCCGCTCCGCCCGGCCTGGCCGCACCGGGACACGGATGGCGGGGGAAGAGCCCTCCGGAAACGGGGCAGGACACGCGGCCCCTTAGTGTGCTAGGCGAGCGCTTACTAACGGATTTGGTCCCGGGAGGCGCTCGTGTGGGATGTCCACGGGAGCCACTGCATCCCATCGGCGAGGAGAGCCGCCAGCAGCGTGGTGAAATAGCATCCTGCCGAGTTTTCCTTCCAAAAACCGCTCGGCAAACGTTACCTGGAGAGAAAACTGCGGGTTAGCAATGTAATATTGCGGGATACGGGTGAGTAATGGAAATAAACTCCTATGGAATGAAACAGCAGCTCCTACTCTGCTGCCTTCCGCTCTAAGGGTCATACGTGTTGCCTTGGCCTGGCTCTAATGGCAGAGCAACGTGTTAAAGACCTTCCCAGCAGTGTCTTCCTTGGGAAGAGACAAAATAAACAACATGTGACACATCAGTCACGTTACGGAATAGGTCATTGAAAAGCACTCTTTAGTACAGTGAGATGCAGGGCGCCTTTATAAAGAAAATCAGGTTTTACTGACAACTTTTCAGATACTGGTAACCTGTTCTGGCTTTCAATTGTGCTACACTACACGTTTCTTTGGTGTTTTTGTTGTGTGTTGTTCCAAAAGCAATGCTGGAAAAGTATCTTGCTGCTGACAAAGAGCCGGATTTGCACCACAGGCGGGTAGTCAGCACACACAGAACAAAATTAAGCAACAAAACAGCCTTTGAAGGCTGTTAGCAAGAATCAGCTGAATACATCCCAAATCCCCACCCTCACAGGGATCTTCCTGACACTTACATTGCTTAAAAATCAGTTTTGAATGTACTTTTTTTTTTAAAGACAGAAAAAGGCACTGACAAGCACGTGGCAGGCTGAGTAACAGCCACAACTCTCCTCATCCCCGAGATATTATAAGAATTTTTATTGCTGTTGCTTTGTGAAGAGCAAACAGTCATCTGCCCTGTAGCATTCCAAAAATCCTGTTTTTCCAGGAGGTAGATTCCCGGCTCCTCAGGTGTCCTCCCGGGCTCCAACAAGGAGATACTCTCCAGCTTCTGTGGGAAGGAGGGATTCCCACAATTCCAATTTACAAGTGCTTTTTTATGCACCCCGATAGAGGGAACCATAAAGCTTCACAGGAAGCGGACGCACTGAGTGACATGAGGCTGCAGGTGAGACACAGGATGATGTTCCTGTCTGATGGTACAAATAATTTCACAGGGAACAGAGCTTATTATCCTGGAGATGGAGAGACAAAGCAACAACTCACCAAAGGGCTTGTGTGTAGCAGGGAACAGGACCTCACACAGCATCCAGGGAAGGCAGGCAGAATTTGGTGTTTTCCAAAAAAAAAAAGAATTAAAAAATAAAAAACAGTTGTTCCAGCAGCCTTTGGGAGCAGAGACTTGGTTTTCTTTCTCCTGTGGTAGGAGCACAAGATGCAATTCTCACATCCACGGGCAAAGAGAATGCTGCAAGACCAGAGACACAAGGCTGAACAACAGGAACCTTTACAACTACTCTCCCCTGGTAAAAGGACTTCTACAAACAAGCATTCCCTTTTATTTTATTTCACCAATATCAGCCTCCTCCACATGCTTTAGGCTTTTGGAGCAGTTTCTAGAGGAAGCCAGGCTCATGAAATGACACATGGAGAGCACAGCCCAACACACCAAGAATAAAGAGAGGTCTCACAGAGTGCACCAAGATCGTGTGAGGGTTGAAGAGGCTCCCGGCAGGAGGGAAGCTCAGCGAGTCATGTTGTGCTCAAGCAAACAGGGAGGGCAGCAGCAAGGGAATCCATTCCCCAAGCGGGCACCCACAGAGGGAATTCACTCCCCCAGACAGGTGTCCGGATAGGGGATCCATCCCACCCAGGCAGGTGTCCGGATAGGGGATCCATGCCCTAAGATGGGTGCCTGGACAGGGGATCCATGCCCCCCAGGCAGGTACCTGCTCTTTGTCGAGGTTTTTTTCCCCCCCCACAGTTCTCCTATGGGCAAGGAGCTTGTGGAAAACAGGGATGTGCCTGGTGGACTCTCCCTTTATTCAAATAAAGCTTTGGATCTCCTCTGTCCCCTTTTGGACATTCAGTTCTTGGGCAGCGCAATTTTTCCAAACAGGAGCAAGGGCTGAGCACAGCTCTCTGCCAGACCAAGGGTATTTATGAACCATTACGTAGAATAGCTAAAATAATAATAAAAAATAATAAAATATTAATAACTTTTTTAAAAAATAGCAACTTTAGGTGTATCCCATGTTCCTCCCAACCCCAACGCAGCCGCTTCCACCTCCTCCCCACAGCTGATTTTCCTGATTTTCGGGTTGCAAACACAGTGTAAATGCAAACGCAGGGCCTGGGGCATCCCCAGTGCCTCAAGGCCCCGGCTGGCACCGCCACACCAGCAACCCGATCATGGCCTCAGGGGCAAACGCTCCTAACGCCACTTCCCAATCAAATTACACACTCTGCCTGGCCTATATTCCCAGTTCTAACACGTATTTATACAAACACACACGTTTTTAGCGCAGCCAAGGAGGCGAGGCCCGCTGACACCTCAGCGTTACCTCAGGATCCCTCAGCGCTTCACCCTTGGCAGCCCTGGAGCCGCCAGCCCTGAGGGGGCAGCTCGGCCTCGGGGACGCCACCTTTGGGGCTGGCCCCCGGCACCGCGTGGGCCCGGGCTGGCACCGAGGGCCCCGCAGCCGCCACGCGGCGGGAGAGACGCGCGGGACCCCGCACGAGGGCGCGAGGCCGCACCGACAAAATGGCGTCGAGCTGCGCCAAGCAGGTGGCGCTGCGCCGCCGCGGCCCCTTTAAATGCGGAGAAATGGCACTGTCCCCACCCCTCCTCCTCGCCCATTGGCCAGCGACCAAGCAGAGTAGCCAATCGCCTGCTCGTTCTCGCACACTTCCGCCTGATTTCCCCGTTGCTGCTTCAGGCCACTCCCCTTCCATTGGCCTATCGCGGCCGTGTCCCGCCCTGCGGCCTCAAGCCGCTCGCTCCCATTGGCTCCCGGCGGGGCGGCGGCGGCGCGGCCTGGAGGTCGCGGCGGCGTCTCCTAGCAGCGGTGGGCGCCGCCATGGCGCGGCGGCGGGGCTGGCCGCTGAGCTACGCGCTGCTGGGCGCGCAGGCCGCGCTGCTCGTGGCCAACGTGCTGCTGGGCGCGGCGCGGAGCCAGCCCCGCAACGACAGCGACACCGGCGGCGACACCGGCACCGGTACCGGCACCGGCGGCGACACGGGCGGCGAGGGCGAGCCGCCCGCCGCCTGGTCCTACGGCGACCCGCGCGCGCCGCTCGTGCTCTGCACCTACCTGTGAGCGCGGCCGGGGCGGCCCGAGGCCGCGGGGAGCGCGGGGGGCGTCGCCGCAGGCCTCAGCGCTTCCCGGGTCCCTTCCTGTGTCCCGTGTCCCTTCCCCCGTGTCCCTTCCCCCGTGTCCCTTCCCCCGTGTCCCTTCCCCCGTGTCCCTTCCCTTCCCCCGTGTCCCTTCCCCCGTGTCCCTTCCTGGCTCCCGTGTCCCTTCCCCCATGTCCCTTCCGGGTCCCTTCCCGGGTC